ACGCGTCTCCTTGCTACTGTTGTCACTGACCCCACCTTTGAGTCCTCGGCTGCGTCTGCTCTGGTCGCTGAGTTGGTTAACTTTGCTGCTGCCTGTCGTCTAGACTACGCTGCTAGCCTTGTCGCTGAGTCAGAGTCTACGTCTGTCTGTCCTCCGTCCGTCGGGGGTGAGTGTGCTCTTGGCACGGACGTCCTTGAGGACAGGCAGGAGGACTTTGACTCTCTTGCGGCTGCTGTACCTCATCTCGTGGCCTGGTTGCTTGCCCCTGAGGGAGACCCGGATGCACTAGACATCCCCACTCCGCGCACTTACGCAGAGGCGATCTCGGGTCCCTACTCCTCTCAGTGGCAGACAGCCATGGACGCAGAGATGGCATCCTGGAAGTCCACAGGCACCTACGTCGACGAGGTTCCCCCTCCTGGGGCGAACATCGTCGATGGCATGTGGATTTTCAGGGTGAAGCGGCCGCCAGGTTCTCCGCCTGTCTTCAAGGCTCGTTACGTTGCTAGAGGCTTCAGTCAGCGTCAGGGGGTCGACTTCTTCCAGACCTTCTCCCCCACCCCGAAGATGACCACTCTTCGGGTTCTGCTGCACGTTGCTGCTCAGCGTGACTACGAGCTTCACTCTCTTGACTTCAGCACAGCGTTCCTGCAGGGCAGCCTGCACGAGGAGATCTGGCTGCGCCGCCCACCTGGCTTTACTGGGTCGTTTCCCCCTGGTACCCAGTGGAGTCTCCGCCGGCCAGTCTACGGTCTCCGCCAGGCGCCACGTGAGTGGCACGACACACTGAGGACTACTCTTGCGGCTCTTGGGTTCGCGCCGTCTACTGCTGACCCGTCGCTGTTTCTGCGCACTGACACGTCGCTGCCGCCGTTCTACATTCTCGTGTACGTCGACGACTTGGTCTTTGCTACTGCTGACACTGAGGCACTCGCTCGTGTGAAGTCGGAGCTGCAGAAGAGACACACCTGCACTGACCTGGGTGAACTGCGTAGCTACCTTGGCTTGCAGATCACCCGGGACAGAGCCCGTCGCACCATCACCCTGACTCAGTCACACATGGTGCAGCAGGTCCTTCAGCGCTTCGGCTTCCAGTTCTCCTCACCACAGGCCACACCTCTGGCTACCAGCCACTCACTCTCAGCTCCACCTTCGGACGAGTCCGTAGAGCCGAGTGGCCCGTACCCAGAGCTTGTAGGCTGCCTCATGTACCTGATGACTTGCACGCGACCTGACCTCGCGTACCCTCTTAGCATCCTTGCTCGTTACGTTGCACCTGGGAGACACAGGCGAGAGCACTGGGAGGCTGCTAAGAGGGTGCTGCGGTACCTGTGCAGTACATCAGGCATGGGGCTGGTGCTTGGAGGACGCGACAGAGTTGTCCTCACTGGTCACTCGGACGCCTCTTGGGTGGACGACCTGGCTACGCAGCGGTCGTCACAGGGTTACACCTTCAGCCTTGGCTCAGGTTCTGTCTCGTGGCGGTCCACCCGCTCTTCCTCTGTTCTCGGCTCTAGTTGTGAGGCTGAGATCTACGCCACAGCCATGGCTGCACAGGAGTTACGCTGGCTCACCTACCTGCTGACTGACTTGGGAGAGCGGCCTAGTTCTCCTCCAGTTCTGTACGGTGACAACAAGGCGGCTCTTGCCTTGTGTCAGGAGCACAGACTGGAGCACAGGACGAAGCACATTGCTCTTCGCTACTTTCTTGCTCGAGAGCTTCAGCAGCGCGGTCAGCTTCGACTTGTGTACGTGGACTCGAAGGCCAACACTGCTGATATCTTCACCAAGGCGCTCCCGCCTAGTGATCATCAGCGGCACTGTACTTCTTTAGGCCTTGTGTCCACATTTCCTCACTTGCTCACTGCTTGACATTCTTTGTACTGTACTTTATATATATCTTGTTGCTTACTTGCTAGGTTTTTGATCACTGTGTTGCTTGTCTTGTACTATATCTAGCACTGCATGTGAACTGGCCTTGTGGCCTTTACTTGTGCTCGGAGTGTGGTGACGTTGTGATCCACCCTGGGCTTTGTTTTGCTTTGCTGGACTGGTCTTGTGACCCTTTGTTCTCCCCCACTTTGCCTATGGGGGTGTGTTAAACTGTATTATGCTTGTAGGCTGTAGTGGGGTAGCCAATATGGGGTACAACCCCAACTAGGGTTTCCTATTTGTACCCTTGCTTCTTTCAATCCAATCATTCTTGCCTAGTGATTCTGACACAAGATTCTACTGACAATCAAAGGTCATCGCACACTGGAAAAAAACCTCACCTCACGCCTCTGGAAGCAACGGTTGAGGTCGTTCATGTCGGCAAGAATGTCAGCGAGGAAGAACAGGCAGAATTGGAACTTGTAGCACGTCACAATCTCGTACGCCTTGTGGTTGTGCTCCCAGAGAAGCACGATGCAAGCGCCGAGGATCCTGCATGAGACGGCAAAGCGCATCCCCTCATGACGAACCGTGCGGATCCCCTGGACTTCAAGGTTCGTGTTGTATATAACTTGCTGCAGGTACTTGAAGCGTTGACTTCAGACGCTTGACGATCCGAGCAGGGACGCCACAGTGCGCACCACCTTGTCGACCATTTCAAGGTCCGGATTTTACTCAGCAGCGTCCTTTACAGCCAGAGCCTCTCTGTTGGACGCAGGGGACACAGTTTAACAGGTGTGAGTAAAACTCAACACACGCACATGGGTATGTAAAACAACTTGCAAAAAACAACACACAGACGTAGCGACATACCATGTCAAATAGACCCCGTAGGATTGCCGCGGAATGTTGGGCGTGTCATGCTCTGCAAGATGCCTCAGCAGCTTTGGGAACATGCTGATCGGCGCGTCGCACTGGCACAGAAACTGAACCGACTGCATGAGTCGAGTAGCGCGCCTCCCCTCGATGTCGGAGGTGATGAAGTTCAAAATCACCGCCCCTCGCGGATGCCCTGCGCAATCTTCATCTGCCGGTCCACCGCCGCCGTGTGAGCGTCCATGTGCTCGTGCGCCCTGAACGACTACGTCTGCAAGTCTCGGCCACCGTCATCACCTTGCCTGGCGTACCTCGTGTTCTCTTTCCCGTACGACATGCAGATGCTGCACTTCACATAGGGAAATCCATCCTTGGTTTTCCCAAACACCAGCCACGAAAATATGCCCGTCCACTTCGTCTCGTAGTTGATACTCGCCTCAAGGTACATCTGCTCTCTCAGCTGCATTAATCTTGGTGAGTGCGGGCGAGCCAGTGTCCGCGCGGATAGGGATATCACCTTCCTCCGGGATCTCAGCGACAACAGGTGGTGGATCGGCTGGCTTGTAAGCCGGTCGAATACGGCGACCACCGACGACTAGGGTACTCTGAGACCACTTCCCAGATCGCGCTCGCTTAGGAGTGGAAGAAGCCGACGGGGGACCTAGGGACACCCGCACCGTGCTTGGAGTGGGACTAGGCGAGGGCCGTGGGGGATCTTTACTGCAAGAAGCAACAGCCGGGGGTAGAGTGAATGCTGCGGGACGGGGAGAGTCAGACGGAGTGGCGGTTACTCTAGCTGCAGAGTCATGAACGGTAGACCTAGGAGCATTGGGTGTTACTGGAGCACCGCTAGTCCTAAGAAAATCGAGCCTGGAGCGGGGGGCATTTGAAGCTTTCTCCGGCAGGGTGGGTTCCGTGGGTTTCGCCGGCAAAGGTGGCTCATCTGGGCCAGCCTGAGGAGAAGCATCGTCGGCCGGCAGGCCTTCCATGGCGGTGAGATAGAAGAGAGGTGGAGCGAGAGAAAGTGCAAGAATGAACGGACGAAATGAAAATAAGAGCAGTACTTCCACGAGCCTAGTTGGGGGTAGGGGGAAGGAAGACACGGTTGGAGATGGCGGGGTCATCAAGAAGCCTCCGCGTCGCCACGCCACGAAATCGATGGCTCGAGTTGTGAATGAATTCGGCCTGCGATGCAAGGCCGAATACATTGAACGACTGCCTGACTGCCTCTCTGGCCAATGATAGAGGCATGCTGTGCATTGCACGGTACGCGTGGCATCATTGTATGGTTGCGTTGTCACAGTTGACAGCTGTGCTGTACAGGAGCGCTGTACAGCGTGGTGTTGGGTTACTTGTCGGTATTATGTTAGTCCTGCGCATGACACGGGTCCCTTACATGGGTGCAAGCGAAGTCATGATTACGCACATGGGGGGTTATCGGGATGAAGTTTCCAGGAACCTTCGTCCCGATACCCTCACATTCAGGGTCTACATGACGCGTACTCTACATTGACAGAGTCAGTAAGAACACTACTCTGGGCCTAAATACAAGATTTCAGGGTTCGCTAAAGCTCTAATCTGAATGGATGAGAGTTCACATGTCACAAATTCTGAAATGGCAGGGACCACCAAGTGACAAGCCTGTAATCACCCTGAAATCAGGGTACTTACCCCGATAAAATCAGCCCTGTAGGGGACGGGACGGGCGCGACGGGCGGGCGCTACGGGCGTGGTAGGCTAGGCGCAACGGGCGCAAGAGGCTCAAGAGGGAGGAACGGGATCCAACAGGATCCTAATCTAGGTGATACCATAACAGAAACTGAATGTTGGATGTATTACTGTGAGTTGGGATACATACACCTAACCCTAACAACTGTACCCCACATGACATGCCTCACTACAGGCTACAACATTTGACAGTGCTTGCTACATATCCAAACTATATGCCCTCCCAATATCTTGACTACTACCGTATTCTCTCGGACATAACACCCTATGGTAGATTTAAAAATACAGGGAAAAAAAGGGGGGTGTCTTCTCATAGGAAAAAGCTACATAATACCCGGGTCTTATCATATAGCAGATGTTTTTTTAAGCAGAAAAGAAAGGAAACAAAAACAGTATTCTGTCCTCACTCTTAGTTTGTTGAACAGGGGCGCAAAACCGAGTCCTCGAGGATAACGTCACCCCCCACTGGAATCTGCCACATGGCAAATTCCAGTGGGCCAAATGAGGCAGCTTCGATGACAGCAATGCCAACCTCGCACAGCTTAGGTTCATGCACAGCACTGTGCTGTACATGGCCCGAGTCGCGCACGGTAATGAGAGGTCACTGTACATGTGACCTCTTGACATCCGTTTGGTCACGTCTTGGCCTCCTCACATGGCCCTCAGCCTCCCTTTGGTCAAGCGGCTCCAGTGCACGATTTTGACAAGAGCTCAGCTGGCTGTGAGAGTGACTCCTTTTTGTGCTCGTGTTTTCTAGTTTAAAGTCTCGTCTACCATGGCGAGTGACACCATCCCCCTGTAGTTCACAAGCATGGCGTCATCTCCAGACTCTAGAAGTACCGTTGATAGGCAGCAGCGCCCTTTTACCGTTCAGACTGGCGCTGCTGCACGCGCACGGACGTCTTCACGCCCTATCTTGCCCCAGCTGGATGCTCCCGGTAGTGCTTCTGCCCGGGATGAACCGAGCACTAGCTCTGACCGTCCTCGCCCCACCCTTCCTCGAGTGGTTGTCCCCACCTTTCCTGAGCGTAACCACCCCCAGGGACAGACGAAGCGCAACGCCGATGCTGCCCCGCCAAGTCCTCGCCACCGCATGACGAAACGCCAGCGTAATGCCATCACCGCAAAGGAGAAACTCCACTGGTTGAAGATGCAGGACTCTCAGCCCGACCTCTCTAATCGCGCGCTGGCGAAACTCGCGAACGTGCAGCCCTGCCAGATCCGCGAATGGAAGAAGATGGGGGAGCGGCTGGAGGTCGCTTCCTGCTACCGTCGTCGCCAAACGGGGCACGGGCGCAAGTGCAAGTACCCGTTCATGGAACGGGCTGTCTACCGCCAGTTACTGAAGCATCGGACGAAGGGCCTTGCCGTCACGGTCAGCATGCTCCAGAAGTGGAGCGCCAAGTACATGAAGCACAAGATGCCCGGGGTCAACTGGCGCGCTTCGTTCCGGTGGGCGACTCGTTTCCGCGCGCGCTGGCATTTGGCGAGGCAGGTCAAGACGAAGATGGGACAGAAGCTGGCAGTGGGTAAGTGAAGATTGTGGCAATATTTAGCTACTGCAGTAGGTAACCCGTGGCAATGTTTAGCTAATGTTTCTCGTTGCTCTAATGGCAGATTGCAAGGAGAAGGTAGAGTCGTTTTGGGAGTTCGTGCGCCAGATGCGCTCTCTGCATGATTACCCGCTCGACCTCATCGTGAACGCGGACTAGACGCCGCTTTTCCTGGAGATGCCGGCGGAGCGCACGCTCGAGATGAAGGGAGCGCGCACGGTTCACGTTCGGAGTGCGGGCTATGAGAAGGAGCGTGTTACTGTCATGCTGGCAGTAACAGCGAGCGGGCTCAAACTTCCGCCGTACGTGGTTTTCAAGCGCAAGACCGTCCCAAAGGTGGCCATCCCTGCTGGTAAGCAACCCACGTTTACGATGTTGTCCGTGCTCTTGCCTGTCAAATGTCGCAACCGAAGCTGACTCTCTTGTGTTGTTTGGCAGGTGTGGTGGTCCGTGCACAGGAGAAAGGGTGGATGGACGAAGCCCTCGTGCAGGACTGGATCACCCATGTGATGATGCCATTTCTGAAGCCCCTGCGTGACACAACTGGACGCCGCAGGGAGGGCTTGGTTGTGCTCGATTCCTACCGCGGCCATTTGACCGAGGCGGTCGGGCAGACCATGCGGATGTTTCGGCTGTCCCGAGCTGTCATCCCAGGGGGCTGCATACCTCTGGTGCAGCCTCTGGATGTGTCGGTGAACCGCGCGTTCAAGTGCGGTGTGCGTCATCGCTACAGTGTCTGGTTTGAAGAAGAGGGAATCAACCTCACCATCAAGGCTGGTGAGTTGAAACCCTCAGATCCGCTTGCCTAACGATGAATCTGTGTCACCGTGTGCTTTGTATGCTTACGTTCGTCCTTGTCTATCCTTCCTCGTCCCCCAGGAAATCTCAAGAAGCCGCCAGCGGAGTTGGTGCTCCGCTGGATCGATGAGTCCTGGGAAGCAATCCCAGAGGAGCTCGTGAAGAAGGTGTTCGTCACGTGTGGGATCTCCACCCCCATAGATGGCAGCGAGGACCACCTCATCCTTGCCCACATGCGGGACAAGAGTGAGGTGGAGGTCCTTGACGACGTTAACGACCTGGTTGACGACGATCTCGTCGTCAACCCCTTCTACGCTGAAGTCCCCATGCCGGCCGAGGAGCTGCAGGCGGCGGCACAGGAGGATGACGTCGCAGAGGAGGACGCGGAGGCGGCGGCGGCAGAGGAGGAGGGGGTCGTGCTTGAAGAAGGCGAGGAGGCAGAAGAGCCCAGCGATGACGAGTGGTGGCGCCCTGGCCGCTATGACGGGGAAGAGTGTTGAGAGTGGCATGCAGGGGACGATTCTGACTAAAAAACACTAAGTAGAGCTCTCTGAAGTTGAAATTGTGGACGTTTAGGGTGTGGGGATGTTGTGGCTATGGAGATGCAGTCTAGGTTGTTGGAAATAGTGAATCTTAAGCGCTTCAGTCGTGTCGAAACATCGCACCAGAAGCGAAGCAAGCTGTATCGAAACAAACGCGAGTCAACCTTCGGAGGTTGAGAAGTTGCCGGAGGTTACGCGAAAGTCAAAGGTCAAGCGACCTTTGACCTGACAAATACAGCGCGACAGTTAAGGACACACAACTGACTCGTTACAGAGCAGTTGCCCGAGTCGTACTGTATCGAACCGCAACAGCAACAGTAAAGTAGTTACAAACTGCATCCTTTCATATTCCTTGTATTATTATATAATCTTGTACTTCCTTGCTATAATCAATCTACTTTGCCCTCATATACCAGCGCAAGGTGGTTCACAAACTTTGTTAAACGCTTCCGCTATTACAACACTATCCCACCCAGAGTTCTCCCTTGAAAAGATCCTAAGGGGCTATCTCAGCCCAACATGGTATGAGAGCAAACAGGGGAAACTCTACTACCTTCAAATCATTACAAGACATGGCAACAAGCAAGGAAAGGAGCTCATCTAACGGCTCCCCAGGCACTACTCCTACTCCACCTCCTGCCTCTGGCCTGCAGACAGAGGAAGGCACGGCAACAAGACCAAGAATGACATCTACTAAGATTCCCGCAAATCACCCCGCGAACTTCGACCCGAGTATAATGGAGAAGTTCTTCTCCTTCATGTCCTTCTACGAGCAGCACCAGCAGTCGGGACCTGCACAATCACACAACAGCAACAACAACGGAGCGACACCCATGAGCCTCGACGGGTCGTCATATGCACGCGGAAACCAACAGCAGCAACCTACCTTCGCCCCGTACGAGCGCGGGTCGATCAGCTTCATGCCGCAATCTTCACCTGCACAAGACAAGCCACTGGACGCGTTACAAGTGCAATCACAGTTCGCGCACGTTCTAAAACTGCAGACATCAAGACCTTTCGACGGAAAGGACTTCTTCACTTGGTCATTCGAGTTTGAGTTAATGATGGAAGGCGCGCAGATACTCGGCTTCTTCGACGGGTCCCTGCAATATCCAGCAAACGGCACACAGTATGAGAAGCAGCAGTATACGTATCAATCGATGATGGCGTATACGATTCTGCTGAGGAACGTCACACCAACTCAGCAGCAGAACATACGCTCTTACCGGGGTTACGGCAACTCCGCTGAGCTCGCGTACAGCCACCTGAAGAGCCTGTATCAAGCAACAGACAGCGTAAACCAAAGCAAGTTAATGGCGCAGTTAACAACAGTTGAAATGAAACCGGGAGAAAAGGGGATGACGTATATCAGCCGATGTCGCGAACTGCGCGACAAGCTTCTTCGATGCGGAGGATCGATCTCCGAGGACGCCTTCGTGACAGTCATCATTGGTGGTCTCGGTCCCCAATGGCGCGCCACCAAAGCTATCCTCCGAGCCCACGGCAGAATTTCTGAAGCAGCACTCTGCGCCGAAATCCACGCCGAGCAGCAGGACATGGACCTGCAAGAAGAACGACACAGAAAGAAGACGACAACATCAGAGTTCGCGTTTCACACTCAACGACGTCACAACAACTACAACAATCGACAGCAACAACCGAAGCCAGTACCTCCTTTCTGCCACATCTGCAAGACTTCAGGGCACCCCGCGAACACATTGCCCAAACCGTCAACAGTCAACAACTCCGCAGCGGCATCTACGGCCTTCAAGCAATCAAGTTGCGTCAACACAGGCGAACCCGACGACTCAAATTCAAGCTTCAACGACCTCAACGGGACAACCTGCACAAGAAACAAGAAATATCGTTAGCTGCATGGCAAGACTGAGTGACTCTTGCGTCACGGAATCACCACCATACTACTCACCAGAAGAACAGCTCGATGAAACGACACCTCGCCGCGAAGCACTTCAACCGAATCCAACCTACGCAGCCATCGCCCAAAACGAGCCATCCGGAAAGGACACGTGGTTCTTGGACAGTTGCTGCGGGCAACACATGTGTTCTTCAGGACGCTTCGTGCAGCGAGAGTACCAGCTTCAACGGGAAGTTGTCATCACCGTCGCCAACAATCAGAACCTGCGCACACGACGACAAGGAGTTGTTCAACTTCAGTCACGAGAGACAAATGTTATTCTGCAGATGTCCAAGGTCCTAATCGCAGAGGGCTTGGGCTACAACTTACTGAGCGTCAGTCAGTTGATGGCGAAAGGCATTCATCTTGAAGCAGACAGCACAACTCAAGAGTTCAAGCTGTACCACGGAAGGGGAGGTCTCTACATCGGGAAGGCGGTCCTCAAGAACAACGTCTTCGTTCTCGACTTCGTTCCCGATCTTGGCACGGCCGACAGCGACGCCATCGTAAACTTCACCAACTGGACACATCCTCCAGATCTTGATCCAGACTTCAGTCCGAGCGGTTTCTGGTACTCGCACACCATTTCTGAAACAGAGAGAACAAGGGCGTTAGCGACAATTCAGCAGTCGGCAGCAGCAGAGACAACATCGGCAGCAGCAGAGACAACATCGGCAGCAGCACAGACAACATCAGGAGCAGGAGAAACAACATCGACAGCAGCACCGACAACAGCAGCAGCAGCAGAAACATTAACACCAGTCACCGGTCCCTCAACGGCACAGCCCTTCATCAACGAGACGCCGCCGACACCGGCGCAGCAGCTCAACCCGGCACCACGGGAAGTTCACAGAAGCGCGAACATCATCGCCGGCTTCTACTCCAACTCCGACATGTACCGACGCTCGCCAGGACACCGCGCCAACGAAGAAACCTGGCACGCAAGAATGGGACACCCAAGCAACACAGTATTAAACAACACGATAAGAGCTGGAGTACTTGACAAGGATTCACTCTTACTGACCGACGGCAGAGAACTTCAGCGAGCTCGAGGAACGTGCTTCACCTGCCCCGAAGCTGACTTACCGCATCAGCCCTTCGTTTCGCATCACAACCCAAGCGCACCTGCATATGCACCACTCGAGAAAGTGTACAGCGACATCTTGTACAACCGCGAACCCGGACAAAACGCGTATAACTACACCATCACCTTCATCGACGCCGCTACACGTTACGTCTGGCACCTAAACTTACCAAGTCGCGACATGGCTTTCGAGGCTTTCGTGGCATGGCTTCCAGCAGCAGAACGGGAATCGGGAGCTAAGCTCAAAAATTTCCAATCAGACGGAGGAGGAGAATACTCGTCACAGCGGTTCAAGCAGTATCTGGCGGAGAAAGGAATCAAGAGACTCATCTCCCTTCCCTACGCCCATCAACAGCAGGGTGTAGCAGAAAGGATGAACAGGACTCTGCAGAACACCATGCGCAAACTGTTACGTGGCATGCGGCTACCCAACCACCAGTGGCCCGAGGCAATGGACCACGCCGTGATGCTGCACAACTTGCTTTCTTCGTCGTCACTCCCGAACAACACATCACCGCATCTGCTGTGGACAGGGAAACTGGGCAGCACAAAAATGTTACGAGTCTTCGGCTGCATGGTACAGTACCGACCCCCATCTGCACGAGCCGGCCGATTCTCCCAACGGGCACAGTGGGGACTACACCT